AAACTGTGTTGACAAAAGGCAAGGTGATATGCCTTTATTTCTTCCACCTTGCAAATGAAATTGAATACTAATATCAGCAAATAAGAACATTTGCTCTGCTTTGTAAAAGAAGCCATTTGTTCAACAGCTGTAACTGTTAAAGGTCTATATTGTACAACAGTGCAATATTGTTAATACTATGATAGCATACAGATGTCACTGTGTCGAAACAGAAAAAAAATGAAAGACAGAAGTAATGAGATCTCCAGAACTTGAGTAAGATGAACAATATATGACTGTTGAAGTAAAAAATAGAAGTGTCTGTAATAACATATGTATCTGAAAGAAATAAGGTAAAGTTATTAATAAATTAAAGTGCTAAGCCAGTACTTCCGGTGCTGTTCTTAGAGATTTCCAGCTGGCAAAAGCTCTGGAAGCGTGGGTGCTCTGGAACACAGGACGTTGATTTGAAATCCTGACTTTCTGGGCACACACTGAGAATTGCTAGTGAGCTCATTTATATTATTTAAAAAAAAATCACAAATTATTCAAACAAAAAGGACTTTCTCTTTTACTTTTGGCATGCAATTCACAAAAAAAATCATTTGAAGGTAATTTAATTCTATTCTAAAGCATAATGCTTAAACCCGAAAGAGTACAATTTCCTTTTATTTGGGATGTATGATGTTATTTTCTACTTTTTAAAAATAGTTCAAAGAGCTCCCTTTCTAATTTTTTTTTCTCTTAAATATAAAACTAATTCTTCAGCTCAAAGAAATTTTTAGATCAGCCTTTTACTGCTGAGGAAATAAAAGGTAAGATCCAAAGCAAGCAATTCAGATTTTGGAAGCATTTTACTAACGACATTCTGAACCACTTATGGAGTCTAGCTGAATTTTTTAAGCCTTGCTTTTTAGACAAACAAAATGAGACCAGAAAAATTAAATTGTGCTTAGCATCTATGAGAACAAACTAATAAAATCAAAAATATGACACAGTAATACAAGTGCTCACCATTTAACACAGAATTCTGAAATCCAGACAGCTGTAGCTTTAGTCACACAACTGATAAGGTGCATCATATTATAATTTACCATTCCCAAGAAAAGTCAAGAGCATTTTTTTTCCATTTTGTTTTAAACTTAGTGAATGGTGACACGGTATTGTAGCAATTAAGAGGAAAGCCTATTTGACAGATTTTTTTCCTTCCATTAAATGAGAAAAAATTAAAATTAATCCCTGAAGAATTTGATTTTTGACGAAAAAAAAATAAAGAATAAAACCCATCTTAATTATATACTACCTGAAAATATTTAGCAAGTCCAACTGCATTGAGTAGCCCGCCAATTTCCTTGGGAATGCTCTGAATGTAGGCAAGTGGAATGAAGCCCATTGTTGCAAGAAATATTCAGCTTTTCTTGACTTAGTAAGTCAAGAAACATACAAAATATAATTTTCACATATTATTAACACTTACTTCCTGGGCAATTACTAACACCTAGTTCCTGCAACATGTGTAGAGAGGAAAAAAAACCTATGCAATACCATAAGTACTATGTTAGACTAAAAACTATTGGATCTACACATGAACCATTGAACTTGGCTTCATTTTGGCATCTGTCTTCTACTGAAAAGTGCCTGAGATAGTGTTGTGTGGGACAAAAACAATAAATGTGTACTCTGTGCATGGAGTTTATCACAGACATGTTTTATACCTTTGATCATCTGTGCTCAGCACCAAAGAATTAAAAAAAAGCCCAGTATCAGAATACTTTCAGCAGATCAATTTTGCTGTGACCTCTGTTAAAATATGTACGATGAATCAAAAAAAGAAAAACTAAAACACATCCAAAGGATAAGATTATCCTTTCTAACAGTTCTCCTTACTAGTCAATTATTTACAATAGAATTAACCACAGACTTCAGTCAAAGTCTAAGAATTTGAAAAAGAACTATATAAACTTGAATTATTTACATAGATATATATACACACATGATGAGATATGGTTTAAGTTTAAACAGAAGATATCCTAACTAAGCAAAAATGTCTAAGCAGCATTTGAAATCCATAATGACGTTAATTAGACTTTCCTCTCTGACATTTAAGAAAAGCATCAATAATAAAAACAATAATAATAAAATAATCCCATACAATACTAGTGTCTTAAGAATCATTCTTGGGTGGCCACTTGAAATAAAGCACAACAGAGTATATTGCATTATCACCTATACCAAGTTTCTTTTCTTCTTCTCCCTGTCATAACAAACTGATCTGTATGGCTCCTGATAAATAATATTATTTAGATTTCATTATAGATGCAAAACCAGATTCAAATCCCAACACAGACATTTTCCAGTAATAGTCAATCATGATTTTATCAGCCATCATCCAGGTCCATACTCCTGTTTGGACTACTCACTTGTATATTTATTCTTTAATGTGTACAAACTCTCCAGATAATGAGTAGCTCCAAACTCAGATGGCCAGCCCCAATAAACAGAACTGCCATGGAGATTTGGTGTTATGTGTTGATAGACTCTAACTGGAGACAGAACACTTAGATGCTATCTGCTGATAGTCATAAATGCTCAGAACATTTATGGACCTCAAGCTCAGTCATGTAAATCAGCATGGTCACAAATGTTATTGCCATATGAAAGCAAGCTCAAAAAGTATAAATGTTCAAAACCACAAAAAGATACTGTCATTGAAGTAGTGGCTTTTTATACTATCATTTCATTATATTTTCATTTGGGTGTTTGAGCTGCATCCAGTTGTTTATCTGTGAGCATGCTGTGTGCATGAACACAGAGAAATGCAAAACTTATAAACCCTGACATTTGCTATTTTCCTTCCCTTGAATTGTTCTAGAAAAGATTAACTTAGCTTTCAACATTCCATTCAACTGCACTCCAAAGTACTAACAAGCCAGTCTGACTCATGTATGTGGCAGTTATTCCCTAACACTCTATTTGCCTCTCTGTTTGAAAAAAACTCTATATATCCTTTTTTTTTTTTTCATTTTAAAACATATTAAGAAAACAATCACTGAAAAATGTTGTTATATGGCATTGACGACTGATAGGGTAAATTGTCTGAGGCTCTTCTTGTTTAGTATTGATCTTCAGGAAAATTACTATATCCCAGTCAGCAGTACTTAAGTGTATTTTAATTCCACAGCATTTGTTCCAAGAAAGAATGAATACATGTGCTGCATAAGCCTGAATAAATACAAGTAAATGATAAATTCAGAAACCTTAAAATTTTGCACTGACCTACTGTAGCTGAGGTCCTTGAAAGTTATTTAACATTATGTGACTTAATGCAGGTAGAAATTCATAAAAGTCTACCCCCAGCTTCTTTCTGGAGTAACAGGATGCAAAATTCCTTGTTATGAACTCAGAAGAAACATTTTCTAATAGTGTAATGCACTATATATTGTGCCACATAAATAAAAATGAAAAACATAAAACTAATACACTTTTTAGTCACATTTCTGAAATCGGGCCTCCCAGATGTATGCTATAGTGCAATTGTATGCAAATAGTACATTCCTAGTTTATCTTTGCATAATCATAATGAAAAACTTAATCAACCATTAATCCATTACTATTTATAACCTATTCCTATTTATAAGACTGCCATTTCCATGTCAAAAAGGTAAAAAATAAGATTTGTGACTGTGGTCTTAGAAAACCCAAAAGATTTTCAAAACCCCAGTTTCTCTATACAAAGTAAGCAGCAAACAAGACCACAGTGGAAAATTAATGTGACAGATTTTAATAATAATTCATTTAAAGCACTTATTTAAATCAACATATAGATTATTTAAGTATGCCTGAATAAAATCACTGAAAGTCAGTCATCTTTTGCAGATTAAAAAGGTTCTTTTTACCCTTCTCTAAGGGTGAAAAGAAACTAACTAATAGAGGGCATTTAATTCTGCATATAATGAAAAAGAAAGGTACTTTTCTTTCTGTGGCTAGTCTTGGCACATCTAGTGCTACTCTGTAATGTTATTTGTGCATTTGACTCTTGTGTTTGGGCAGATGACATATATATATATATATATATATATATATATATATATATATATATATAAACTCCATAGGAACTGCAGGGAAATTTCTGTTTAGGAGAATATACTGATAACTGCTGATGTAAATAATTAATAATGACAACAATCTACACGAGAAATTCAAGGTTCAAGGCAGCAGCTTCTCCTCATGCCTCCAGACGCTCCTGTGTGTCAGGGGAGATTGTTAGCCCTTGTAGTTGTCTTCTGGAGCACTCCCTTCAGAAATTGGTACTGTTAATATACTAATCAAACAAAATTAGGCAGGTACTTCTTTCTTTATAGAGTTTAGGTACAGTAATTAAATAGGTCCATGCTACATACTCAATTTTTCAAGCCTAGTAATTGAATTCAGTTATTGCGAACATTTAGACCTGAGTAAATATATAATAATTAGAAAGTTCCTAGGTGCTGTACTGATCTGTTACCAAAAGCTACAGAATGTTACAATACTTACATGACTCAGTAGTATGTTTCAAAAACATGTTCAGTTAAAAAAAAAAAAAAGTATTTGGCTTGCAAGACATTGATTAATTGTGGATCCAAAATGTGAGATTTCTTTTGGTTTATGTCAAACTAATGCTGCAGCAGGATACATCTTAGCACAAGAATATTTTTTGAAATCGACTCAGATTGCATATCCAGTTTTGAGAGAGACTGTTTTTCTTTCTGCCCTATTATACAACACTTCTTTTTGCCTGGCATTTGACAGGCATCCCCATCCTTAGCGTTTACTTCACTTCCTCAGTGCTGAGGCTGCAAAAACACAGCCAGCAGCCTCATAGAGTTTTTCATGGAAATCTGCCATTCTAAACTGGCACCTAATGCCACTTATTCACAAGGAAGTTTAAAACTCTGAAATGAATTTAAGTATTTATGCCAATAAAGAAACTGATGAAAAGTATAATAATAAAAGAAGTAAATGGAAACAATGTAAGACATTACTGAAGTAGCTCTTCTTGGGAAAGCTCCGATGTTCTTTGCTTGCCAGTCACCAGTGCCAGCTCATCCTTCAAATCCTGAATCTCCTTTTTCAGCTGGACAATCATCTGCAAACAGCAAGGCATAAACTAAGCATCTCCTACAAATTAATAGTTAGCTTATTATTTTTTCAGTACAAAAAAATCATAGTTTAGGTAAATATAATTTAGTTTTCTCCTTTTTAAAAAAAATATCTTTTCTAAAAACTGTCAAAATGCCTTAAATACACCAAGTGCCTTTTTTTCCTCTTTTTCCACTTATAAACCCAAGAAAAGTCTTCCAAATACAGTAAATTCTTGTATTAGAAGGCTTGGCTGCACAGAAAGAGTTCAAAAGATATTTTGTAAAAGAGAAATATTATTTGTCATAGGAATATTTTCCTGACTACTAGTTTTGCCTCTTAATAATGAAAAAACATTCAAGAACTGACATCTTTGTTAGAGTCAGGGCAACTACACGACAAAAGTGATTTTTTTGCTTTCCCTTATAGAAACAGAAATTTCAAAGCAATATCAGTTTTAGTCTTACCTTTTTTCTTTTTCATATGACATCCCACTATTGTTAGAATTATTGTATGCTGTACTTGTAGGATGCATCTGTTGCTAGCAACAAACTGATGGTATAAAGTAACATAATGAAATTAAATTGTATTAATGAATAGTAAAGCGATAATATTACATGGAAAACTTAATTAGATTTTAAAATTCTAGGAAGTCATTGTCAGAATCTGCACTTTGGGAATAAATATCTGTATAAAACCAAATTTTACTAATCATTAAAGTCTCAAAGCCAAGTTCTACGAAGCAGGGCAATATGCAAATACCTAAGTCTAAGACATGAATGAGTGTATTCTTGGACACTTTATGGTTGATCATTTAATGAAGGCTCCCTTTTATATGGCTCAAATGTATCAGTAGGCCAGTGATATTTTTAGGTGGATTTGCATACACTGATACCATGTGCAAAATAAGTTTCCAAGAGAAGAATGTTTTTAAGGAAAATTAATCACTTTTGATTGCATGCACTTTCCAGTAATGAGATTGTTGAAATTGATGACACATATTTTCACTGGATATTAAAGCTCCTTCAAACATTTCTATTTCTTTTAATGGATAAATTTTATCATAACTTCCTAAGTTTTTACTTTGAAAATCAAATTACTTTAAACATGCATATGATTACTTCTTTTAACTCTAAACATGTAGTTTATTTGGTTTTTTTTGTATAATAAAGTAATGATTTTTTTAGAATAAAGTATGAAAGTCTAACATACTATTTTATTTAATAGTCTATTAAAATTATGACTGTTAATTAGAGAAGTTGCAAGAACACTTAGAGAATGTTGCAGGCCAAACATTGTACCCTAATTTTATGTTGCCCCATTTTGGTGCCACACTCTGATGTAGTTTGTGCCAGCTGCTGAGTCAAGAAAATTAAATTTGGTGCTGGAGTGGAAAATGGTAGACATCTGAAACACAGTAACATCTCTGTTCAATGTTCAAATTTGTTAGAATGACTAACTTCAATCTGACAACAACAGAAATCTCAATTTCAGGATATGGATAGAAGATTCGTTTTCAAGTATTATTAAGACAAAAATCTACGGATGCAAAATAACTTCATTTCTATTTTTACATGAACACCAGAAGAGATCAGGTTCAGTTCAAAACCTTGATTTTCAGTTTAAATTATGTCCTTTAGCCATGAGTGAGAGAAGATCAAAGATTAGTAACTTAAAAGTATAACAGGTACAAATTCCTTTTCTCAGTAAGATAAAAAGTCAGACATTCTCCATTATAAAGAATAAAGTTTATACAACAATTTGACTTAACCCAGATGCACCAAGAGGTACTCTGAACCCCCTTTATAAAGCATGCATTCAACTCACATGTGATAGATACTAATAATAAATTGTATTTTGATTTTTCATAAAATTAATATTATTTTATTACAATAAAATTTTATTTTCATGAAAAAAAAGTCTTCAATCCATCACTTTGAATAATAGGGTTGCACCCTGGGAATATAGTTAAGATGGGCAACAAATTCCATAATGAGCACAGGGCCATATAAATTCAAGGTACTTGTGTTCCCCTGCCTTTTCCACAAGAGGGGATGGTTTTCTAACTCTCATGTGTCCACTTTTGCTTTTCTTGCTAAATGATCCTGCAGAGTGAGACATACCAAACTTGTGGAGTATAGCTCCACAGGATGTAGTAAATGTTCAGGAGCCTGCATGTGCTTTACCTCAATCAAAGCTTTCTATGGCCATGGAAGAAACGTTTTGCATTATTTGCTACTAGAAAGTCTACGTAGAAAAGAAAAGAGAACAGACAGATATAAATAAAGAAGTTGTTCAATGCCTATTGGGTTTGGGTTTTTTTGCCTTTTTTTAACTCTGTGATACTATTGTCATTAGAAATTGCTTGCAAAGAAAAATAAAAAAATAATAATGATGAAAAAGAAAACCAGCTGAAAACTTGATCACGATCTTATATTCCCTTTGAAAGGCAAGAAGAATAGACAACAAAAAATAAAGGCACAATTATTAACAGTAACTGAAATATGCTAATTACCATCAAGTAACAATGAATAAAATCATTAGCTAAATAATTAGCTATTTCTGTCTCCTTTGCTTGTTTCCATCTTTTTTGCCAATGGTAACTTCACAGAGTTCTTTTTTCCTATCTAAAATGTTCCTTGAATCAATTTCAATTAAGGACTGGGTGTATTTCTCAGTTTTTGAATACACAAATTGTTTCAGTGCAGCTGTGTGCCTTCATCAAGTGACTAGCAGCATTAGTACATTCTTAGAGTTTTAGAGCCATCCAATGATCTGTGACTATGATTTAGGAATTATCACACTAAAAAAACAACACAAAGATGATAATGAAAGTGACCATTTCTCCTCGATGCTTTAAGAGTTGAGAAATCCTTTAGAGATTTGATAAAGATCCACTTAAATATAATGGTATCCAAAAGAAAAGAAAATTAAAGTGGCAGTTTTTTAAAGAAAAAAAGTTGGAGCTTGTATCTGAAAACAATTTAATGGGACATTTCAGTATTAAATCCCCAACATCACGTTGACTGCTATTGATTAATAAAACTTAAACCAAGCAATCGCCTTCCCTCTTCCCCAGACAATTCTCACCAATCTGGGGTCAATTTCTTCATTAAGGACTGCTTCATTCTTAATAAGAGCAACTCGTTGTGCAAATCTGCAGGTTGATATAGATTCCTGGAAGAAAAATTTTAAAAAATGAGAGAGAGGAGAGAATTCCTATTACCTATGCACCAGGTAAGTAGCCAGACTTCTAATGAAGACATTAAACTACCATTCAAATTTTTGAGTATGTTACAGAAATATTCTATCATTTCCTATTCCAAAGTAACAATATAAAAGGGAAATTATGTTAGCATATTAATGACAGGAGCACATAAAACTGGTAAGTCATAGACATATTTTACCAATATAGTTTATCCCCTGAAGAACTGTGTTTCAGCTAAGCCCACAGCTGGAACTATAGGATAAAAAAGCCATGCTGCTCAGAAGATAATAACCTTTGAATGATGAGAAAAAGAGAAAACTAGTGAAAGTTGTGTTTTTGCTGTTATTTTTGTTTTGGTTTGTTGGTTTTGTGGTGAAAATGGGACTAGACAATTTATGTAAAAGGAGCTGGGAAAAAAGATGGAGGGAAGAATAGCTAAAATCCAGGACTACTGAGAAACAAGCTAGGAGACGAAACTGAGAGGCATACAGGGGAGCTGTGATACTAGATAAAAATCTGTCAGATGAGCTAAGACAGGGATCAGCAAGAATGAAAGGCTAACAAAAAATGATACAAGACTGAATATGCTGGGGAAACTCTGTGATAGTCATTGTGTACTCCCATCAAGTGCACAGAGAGAAATCAAAGATGCTGATACGTATTGTTCTCACATTCCATATCAGCTTATATTTAAATTCAGACCCTGCTATAAGACATATATTTAATGAAAACACCCCAGCAATTATCTCAAGTTCAGTCAAGTAATAAAACATAGAACACCAGGCAGCAATAGTCTTAAAGATTCAAATTATGTTTGAGAAACTGTATGATAAACCCTTATGGGATGTAGCAGCCTGCATTTAAAAGAGAATTTGTACCAGAGACCCTAAATTAATACATTACTGTAACAGAATTGATTTTCAGAATGGAAGTAATTCTGCAGTTTTCACTCCTCCAATATAAGAAAATACCAGTTGAAGTATTATGTTAATTCATCTTTTTCCACACAACTTCTGTCTCCTTAAGTGCTTGGAGGTTTTGCTTTGGAGCCCTGAATAAGGGTTATATGAGGAAAGATGATTCTTGCTAAAGACATGGTATATACTGTGGAAAGGAAAGGAAGGCTTTAGAATTAAGAGAATTACACACTGTTGGGCTGCTAGTTGGGTTCTATGTCTGTCTCTGCTTTTCCTTTGCTATGATGATCAGCCAATGTGATTTTAATTAAGTTCTAGACATATAGTAAGTACAGTTTTATGCACAGTACACATGCATACATTTCCACTAGATTTCTTAGCCCTGTTTAATGTTCAGCACATATTTAATTAATAAGTAGGTAATCAATTAAGTTCTCCAAGTTCAGTATGATAGCTTACAATTTGCTTATTCTATGCCATCAAAATGGTAATCAAAACAGACATCTAATTTCCTAATCATTTTTATACTAAGCTTATCATCACAGCACCTCAGGGCTTTTACAAGAATTAATCAATTAACCTTTGCTGCAAATGTATAGAATGATTACGCTTAACAGAATAGAAACTGAAGTCAAAAGTACCAAAATATTATACTCAGTTGTCATTTTATGATCTGCTGTTCAAAAAAGCTTCCATTCTGCTTCAGTTACAACTATATTGAGTAATGTATCTACAATTCAGAATCAGCATCTTTATCCATGTACACCAAAAAACTAGCACAAAAAAAATTTGACTCAAGAAATTCTCTACAAACTCATTGGTAGAAGTAGGAATATAATTTAGTTGTCTAGGATAATAATCTATTTATCCTCTTCATATGAGTGCCCTTTCTTACTCTGAATTTTCTGCTTAATTGTTTTCATTACAAGAAACAACACTAGGTCCTTCAGAAAATGGCTTTTACTATACAACTTCAGTTAATACTCTGGGTAGTTCTATCTTGTGCATCATTTGTGAGTGAAATGTACACCCAATGGAAAAAACAAACCAACATGCAACCCTAACATAGCTATGGATAATGACTCATGCACCAATCGTAATTCTGACATTTTGTGATGATGAGCAATTTACTTATCTTTTTATATATATTAGCTTATCATACACCTTTATTATTTGGACATTTCAGATTTTGGGGACCAAAATTTCGTGGTTTTTTTTTTTTTGGTGTTTTTGTTGTTGTTGTTGTTGTTGTTGTTTTGCTTTATTTTTTTTTTGGGAGGACTGAAGAATAAAATCTGTTGTGTAAATAGTGTATGTTAGAGCAAGAACATGGAAATTTTCATATCTTGTTCTGGGTAATTGCTTGATCTAAATATTTCCAAAATAGAAATCTAGAACACAATGTGAGATACACCTGATGAATTGATATATGAAAGGCTTCTGATCTCACAGAGCTTAAAATAAAATTAACAAACTTACCTAGCTGCCTTTGTAACCAGACATTATGTTTGCACAATTATGTTTGCAAGTCTGAACAATATGTTTTCATTTAATAGCAGAGTCCACTTTTCTAAAGGAAAAGTCTACAACTAGATGAAGTATGGTTTGAGTATAATATTTTCCACTGTATTTCATAAAACAGTCTTAGACTAAATAGTTTTTCTTTTCTTGTTTATTCATATTAGAATGCTTTTATGTTAGGAAAATCAGGAAATAAACAGATTATAAATGGCTTTGAGCAGTGTTCTATATACGCACATTGCTACATGTTCTAGAATAAAATAGACTAGACTATTTCCCTTGGAAGGGACAATGATCAGCTTGTCCAACTGCCTGACCAAATTAAAGCATATTGTTCAGGGCATTGTCCAAACACCTCTTAAACACTGACAGGCTTGGGGCATCAACCACCTCTTCAGCCTGGTCCAGTGTTTGACCATCCTCTCAAAGAAATGCTTCCTGATGTCCAGCCCAAACAGATATTTGAGAAACATATGACCCCTGGCATATCACTGAACTATTCCCACACATCCTATCCCTGGATACCAGGGAGAAGAGCTCAGGACTTCCCTCTCCACTTTCCCTCATCAGGGAGATGCAGAGAGGAATGAGGTCACCCTCAGCCTTCTTTACCCCAAAACAGACAAGCCCAAATTTCCTCAGCTGCTCCTCACAAGACATTTTTTTCCAGACTTTAGGCAGCTTTGTTGCCCTCCTCTGTCTGTACTCAAGGACCTTCACATCCTTCTTCACCTGTGGGGCCTAGAACTGCACGCAGTGCTCAAGGTGAGAATGGCAGAGAGCAGGATAATCACACCTCTCTTGACCTGCTGGTTGTGCTGTGTTTGATGCATCCCAGGATGTGGCACCCTCTTGGCTGCTTGGGCTTACTGCTCCTCTGACCAGCACCCCTGGATCCCTTTCTGCAGGGCTGCTTTCCATCTGCTGGTCTCCCAAATTATGCTTGTGTTGGGCATTACTCCACTATAAGTGCAGAACTCTTGTTATATTTCATCTCATTAATCATAGCCTAATGCTCCAATATATCTAGATCTCTCTGCAAGGCCTTTCTCCCTAGAGAGTCAACAGCATCTCCCAGTCTGGCATCATCAACAAACTTGCTAATGGGTTTTTCAACTCCTGCGTCCAGATCATTGATGAATGTATTGAGTGGAACTGGCCCTGGAACTGAACCCTGAGGAATATCATTGCTGACCTGTAGCCCCATTCACAACAGCCCTTTGATAAAAACTACAGACCTATCTGTAAAAAAAAAAAAAAAAAGGAAAAGAAAAGAAAAAAAAAAGAAAAAAAGAGAGAAAACATCAATACATATAATTCCAGTGCAGGAAATTGGTGACAGGACACAAAATATTTGAAAAATTTCCATAAATCCCAAACTAACCCCTCAATTCCCTTCCTTTCCTAGTGAACTATCCATTTGTCTACCATAATCTATAAAATCTTGACTCCAAAGAAGTCTAACAGAAGTTCTGCTAAGGTTTCCAGTGGAAATGCCCTTTTATAACTTAAAATTTATTCACCAGGAAATCAGCAAATTGAAAAAAAGAGTAGTTCATTACTAGGTGCAAGGTATTCCCCAACTGCTACTTGACTTGCGATTCCATAAAGAAAAGCACATTTTTCTAAAGGATTTGTTTCTATCCTACAGCACTTTTCACTGATTATCTATTTCTATTCTAAATTACTGCCTAGAAACAAAATTAAAATGTCCTTTTAAAAGGATAAGAAGAAAAGCTTACATGCTTCAATTTTTAACTATATTAAAAATCAAAAGAGCAGGATCTATAGAGAAGTGACAAGATTTTTGTTCAAGATAGAAATAACATACGCCTATGTTTCTTTTGTCCATAGCAAGCATTGCTATCATGGTAGTCATGCAGTTTCCTCCCAGGCTGTCTCTTAGCACTGAGGTCATCATAGAGTTTCGGTAAGGAATGTGGGACCGATTTTTCTCTGCAAGGGCAATTATTACCTGAAACAACAGCAAAAATAAAAGACTTAAATTTATATGTCTCTTAATGTTTGACAAATAAAGAACATATCCAACATATAAAGAACAAATCCAATCTGCTCAGAAACATTTAACACAAAAAAACTGGGATGCTTATGCAGCTCACTGTTAGCTGCAAACCCACTGGCTTTATTGAAAGAATTCCAAGTTAAATTTCAGCATGTTTATATGTCTTTGTAGGAGCTGGACCTGAAAGACCAAATACATTAAATTTTATCATGCCCTAGCCTTACAGTCTTTCAGCAACATGGAAACCGAACATGATAAACTCAAATCCACAGGTTTTCCTAAGACACAGGAACTTAATGAAAATCTTCCTCATACTTTTTTGTCATGACTACAAAATATGGATAGTATTAAAGTAAAAATTTCCTCAATATTTGCTAAAGAATGCTTTAAAAATTACACATTCTTAAAACATGTGCTTCCTACATGGGCCAATATATTTCTGACAAAATGTCTTGGAAAGCAAAGCACAAATAAAAGGGTGCATGATTACAGTATACTGCTGGAAAGAAGTGATTCAGTTTAGAACATATATGCCTTGGCCAAAAAGGAAATTGTACACCTACTATTCTCAGTTTCCCTCCTCAGCTGTTTACATTATGGGACCTAATTATTAAATAAAAAGCTAGATTACCCTATGATGTCCTGTGATATAAAAGATGTGAACTGTTATCCGGCCAAGCACTGTACTGTAAAACTTTAGCTATATGAGTTGTGCATGCTCTCCTAAATGATTAGGAGTTGGTTTTTCATTAATAAATGAAAACCATATCAGTGTATATTTTGTTTATGCTACATTTTAAAAAATTGCTATATTAGAAAATTCTGTAGAGTCTTTTTTGTGGCATTAGTTTCTCTTAATGGTCTTCAGAAAGTTAAAACTATAAATATTACACTGGCAGCCCTGAGAGACACAAATGCATAATAAGAAAATTACTGTCTTGTAAAGGAATCTGGAAAGCCATTCCTGCATCAAGGTTTTCAAATCTCATATATTTACAACTTGTTATATAGAAACATGTTAAAGCTTTATTGGTTTATAATATTGCATAGAAACCTCATAGTAGTCTAGCACATATATTAATAAGCACATTCCCTGCCTCTTCTACAGAGACTATAATCAGAATAGACAAGATGAGAAAAGAGTCAGAGAGAAGATATGTTATTTCCATTAAAAATGGGAACATTGTCACAGGGAAGTTCATTTTTTCTGAAGTCCATGAAGGAAGTTGGCAGCCCAGTTGGAATCTGAACCCTCTCAGACTAATGCTGAAAAGCTGTGACCAACTATCATGATGCATCATCTATCATTGCACTGTCATGTGACAGTCCCATAACACAAGCTATTTTAGTCTAAAGTCCCATTAATAAAACTTCATCTTAATCACTAAATCAATCTTTACAATCCAATAATGTAATCTGGAATAGAAAGAGGAGAATCTGAAGAAGATGGCAGTAATATACTTTGAGAAAGTTACAAAGACCACGTGTACAGAAGCTGAACCTGGATTCTCTAAGAGGCACCAAATGCAATAATCAAAAAATTGTCTCATTTAAGAAGGTGCTATTATCCTTTAGATACAAAAAGGGTTTTTCTTTAATATCTGCAATTTTAAGCTTAACAATGCCACTAAAGCAGAACATTTCATTTTGAGTGGATCAAACAAACCACTTTAAGCCCTAATTGCTGTCAGAACTCTTGTCACTTTTTGTAAAATTGAACCCTTTGTACAAGGAACAGATTTGCAGCAGTATCTCACACCATCATGCTCTCAGAGAATCCTCAAGAGATGGGCATTTTGGTGTGCATCACTTGCAGAAACAGAGGTGTCAGGTACACCCCTAGCTTGCTGTTTAGGGTATCATATGCTCTGAAGCCATATTCCTACTTCAGAAGGCTTCTTTTTGTTTCCTGTCCTAGTTCCCATTTCTAAGTAGAGTTTAGAAGCTTAAACTGTGGTCTTTGCAGAAAAAGAACAACCAATGAATAAAACAAAACCAAAAAACCAAAAAATCCCAAACAAACAAAATATAAAAAAAACCCTTTGGTAAATTTAGGCAGCAACCTAAATCTTTTCTTTTTATCTTGGATAAAATCTTTCAACATTCTGTAAATGGAACAGGTGTTAGAAGACTGTTAATGAACACATTCATTAAAGCAATAAGAACATTGTAACCCGGGTTTTTTTGAAAAACAATTCCATTGTAGTGTCAAATCACATGGTAGTATAACTTATTTTGCAAATCTAAATCTGGTCCAGGATCCTCCATATTTCTATCATAAGGGAATATCTACATATGCACAGTTACATTGCAGTTGTAATTCCAGAACACACTAGTACATCTCAGACAGTAAAAACTACCCAGATACAGTACTAAGGACTTCCAAATTCCTGCTATCTTCATTTTTCTCTAGATGTAGAGGCCACTCGGAGTAAAATTGCAGTGGATTTATTTGAAGACTTTTTTAACATGCTGTGAATATTTCACAAGTAGATCAAGTGTGGTAACAAAGAACTGTGGTCTTATTGTCACCTCGATACACACAATTTACTATGACTATTTTACTGTGCAAAGTATTTCAAAATGGTTTAAATCAACATTAGACCACCAGTAGATAGCTAAAGAGTTGGAAATTTTAATACGCTGATTTTGAGGCATTTGTGCACTTTAATATTATTCACTGCAAGTTCAGAATTGAATGGTTCAATTCCCAGTGATTTGGAGAGAAAAAGATATTTTTACTGCCTTTGATGGTCTTTTATTCAATATTAGAAAACATTTCTATTGACACACAATCCCAGGCAGAATCCAACATGCTTATTTCCAACAGCATTTCTCTAAAATAATAATTAAATATTCCATGGAAAAATAATTTTTTTCCTGCTAAATACATAAAAATCATACAATAAATAAGAAGTAAATAAAGAAGACCCTGAGTATAATTTTTATGGTTCTCAAGATGTCCATTTTAGAGTCACTGATCCTTATCATTTCCCTTTAGTACAACTCAAATTCAGACATTAATCTTCAAGGTAAAATTTAAACAAATGAGGAGCATGAAAAACATCTAATGTGATAATAAATGACTGACTGCCACCTGCTGTACCTTAAGCTTCTTCTTTTGACACATGAAATATCTCTGATCATAAATGAAATCCAAGGGGTTTGTTAACAGAAAAACCTGTAACTCACAGCTGAGAAATATTCCTCCCAGCAAGTGGAAGAGTTTTATTTCCTAATCATTATTTTAAAGAATTTTCACATATACACACCCACAAAATTTTCAGGTTTTATGATCTCCTCAAAAGTATATTTTAGTAAAATGCACATGTACAGTAAGGTAAGTTAAAAAGTACAAATTTGAATTTTAGAGTTAAACCTTTTTTATTTTCTATCCTACTTAATTGTTCCCCTAAATAACAGCCTCATAAACCTGCTTGGTTTCTACATAAAATTTTTTAAAGAAGCCTTAGGAGAAAATACTGTGTTGCCCATTGGAATTCCAAAAATAACTGATTTCTAGCAACAGGAACATTGTATGCTGTACTGTTAAAACAATATTAACTATTCAGTCTTAAGAAGAAATTATTTTCTCTTACAGGTGCAGAATCTGAAATGGACACTTGAAAATCTTCAGTGATTGCAACTTAATAGCACAGCAGTCACAAAAGAGATTTCTTTCATTGCCAAGTGTTTCTTACTCTAACTTGGTAAGCATCATAAACATCAACTATATAAAACATCATGGTAGATTAGAGAGAGATATATATTAAAGCCTTAAAAATATTATTGAAAAATATAGTATTAAATAATTATATAAATAATTAACTTAATAATTATCTAATTATTGTAAAACACATATTATTAATAATAATCATCATCATAATACCAAATGTTTTTACTGGAATTCTCCAAAGTTTCCTTTCACTCCTGCTGCCTGAAGTTTTTTTTTAATGAATAAGGTTAGTTAGGAGCAATCTAATTGCTCAATATTTGACTTCTCCAAAGGGGAAAACCAAAAAGCAACGGTGAAAGAAGGATAGGGATTTTAGTACACCTTAAATTATGAGGCTAAATTTTTTAGTAACAACAGCTGAATGACAAAGTTTTATAGAGATTAATAATAACAAAAACAACAATAATAACAACAATATTTATTTATGTATTATTATAGTGCATCTATGAGTGTTATTGGTGTAAATCCAGTTATGGCAGTCAATCCATAAATACATTACCAATGATAACATCTGTCTCAAAAAGATCAAAGATTTAAATTGCTAGAGGAATTAAACAACACATGAGAGAACAGCTCAATAATTTATCATATTACAATGTTAGAACCAAATAAAGCTCAAACACGTTATTTTCAGTGATACATCCTGATCCCAGGTGTGGAAGGGGAAGAAGATTATGAAGACTATTTTTAGGTGAAATATAACTGAAATTTTGTAAATATATTTAGTGTTCCAAATAAAACAAGAAAACTATTTTGAAAATACTACCGTGTATACCTACTCTAGTCTTACGGCTTAATTGTTAAGTTTGCCCTAAATTAAAATACTTTCTTTTAAAGGAAGACACATAAATTCAATGATTTGAAAAACCCTGCAATAAATATCCTAAGTAAATATTGGAATAAAGTTTTCCAAAACATTGTACGTTGTTAAACAGGAATTTAGTAAAGGGAGAAATGTTTTACTCTTTTTCAATTTTACCTGCTCCAAATAATGTAATGAGAGGTTGATATATTTGGCTTCTGTCAGTAACTGGCCTCCAATTCCAGTCTTTGCAACACGTTCTGATCCAGCAAGGTCTACCAAATGTAGCTTGGAGCGTCGGATGGTTGCAGATCCAGGTTCCTTGCTGGAGATGTGAATAGTGAAAATGCAGTGAGATCGGCTTGAGGCTTGATTCATTGGCGTCTACAATGACAGGAAAAAAAGAACTTGTTACATTGTGCTCATGGGCATTCTGGACCCCTCCTTCCTGCCCTGACAGGGTTGGCGGAGAGCCAGGGAAGCCCACCCTGTCCAAAGTCTATATAGACCCCTGACATTTCCTGTTCGTCCTCTTTTGCCCCACTCTCCCCTTGGACATCACACAATAAAGAGAGCTGTACCAACATATATTGGGGTAAGAGCCTCTTTTAGAAATCTTTGCCATCTCCTGATATTCCTCCCCTCAAAGCCTCGGATCTCTGGGCTAGCCTGATAATTTAGGGGGTGAGAGGGCGGAAAACATCAAGAACTCTCAATGTTCGATTTAACTTTTTATAGCTCAGTAATCTGGCAACTGAAATAATCAATCAATATTTTTAGCTATTGGACCTGTAATGAACGTGAAAAAAGAACCCTAAAGGATTTACCTGAAATTCATATTCTAGAAAAATACTTGGATAACTTTAATCTGGACAAATTGCACTGTAAGCAATTAAGGTTGGTCCAAAATCCTCTAACATCAGCAAAACAAGTGGTCTTAATACATGAGGAATACTAGAAAAGGGCAGCTTAACTGGAGGAAAGATAACTGAATGCTGATCTCTGAGAACTTATTAATTTCTCCATTGGTACATCAATTTATTTTTTTCCCCAATAGATAGCTACCAGTGTAACAAACACTAGTACTTCCTATAAAGCTTAAAAGTTCTGCATTATTACTTATATGAAAAAATTTTACTTGGCAAAATCAACATCAGATTTTTAGGTGGCATGACAGAGTCTTCATAAAATGTTTGGCTTTAAATATATTTTTTTGGGAATAACTACAGCCACACTTTCTTAATTTAAAACACAGAAAGTCTTGGTCAATTTTTAGAAATGTGCAGTCTTAGCATCACTTCAGAGGTTTTCTCAATATATTTGAAATGCAGGACCAAAAGTTTTAAACAGCTCTCAGATAGTTAACTTTAGATTTTAAATGATCATATGCCATCACATATGTATTTTTATTAAAAAACATATAAAATATCTTTAAGCATATTAAGTACCTTTGGTTTAGTTGTATCAAGGTACTCTTAGAAATCTAAAACTAAAATGACTCTACATAATCCTCATTTCATAAATAGCTAAAGCTTGAGATTATATATGGAGATTAAAGGTTTAGCATACAGATAGAACTTTTATTCATAAACTAGAACAAGTATGATTACATTGTTTTCAGGACATAAATGCTGACCCTGCAAAAAAATAGAGTAGTAAAATAATAAATCAATATTATTGAGTCAGCAACTAAATCTATATTTATTTATAGCTGCTGAAAAAAGTAATAGAAACATAGTTATACTGTCTACATTAATCTCTGGTCTCTACTTTATTCCTCTGTTTTTCTGCAGTTATTTTTTTTTTATGTAGACCTATCTTGTGATTCAGACCAGATACATCAATATATTGCCTTTATTTCACATAATCTGCCTTAGCATGCAACACTGCAAATGTTAAAATGGTTAAAATGTTAAAATTGCAGGGACTGAAGAGGTTGTCTTATTGATCCAGAAAGGACAGCTCTTAACAGAAAGACTGCAAGCTGAAGAGTCCTTTAACAGGAATAATATGGACCATTTGGTTCAATTGTCTCCACTACAAGTTCCCCTTCTTTTTAAAGCCTTAATAGTCCCAGCACAACTAAATGGGTTTGGGGAACTGATCCAGCTAAATAAACAAATGAACAAACACAAAATAAACCCAGTAAAACCATATTTAACCTGAATCAGTTTCCTGATTCAGCCACAGCACAGCTATGAAAAGCAACTGTGGCAGAGCACCTGAAAATGACAGCACACTGGATGTGAACAAGTAGGTAGTGTGCAGAAATAGAATACACCTGTAGCTGTTGGTGAAAATTCTGTGAGTGCGAGGACGCTGAACTCCAGGATGGTTTGGATGGATGGAGACGAGAGATCTCTGAAGGCTGCTCTTAGAATATCTGGTTTATCAGAGAGGGTGAAAGGCCCTGCTTGGGGTTGCCAGACACGACCCGTGGCAGGTCCTGGGGAGTGGGGGAAGGGAGAGGCAAGGGGTAGAGGGAGATAAGAGAGTGGAAGTTCCAAGAGAGCGTCTGGCTCCTCTGGCTCCTCAGGGACCCCTTATCAGAGAGCTTCAAGGTGGGCTGGAACAAGATTTGGGCCAATGGGGTCACAGACATCTGATGTTTCAGGGGAGGGTTACAGGTGTGGGATGAACCATACATTTTGGGAAGTGAGATCGAACAGTCCATTTGACCTTTGGACCTATCTGTAGGTAAGGGCATTGTTCAACCAGAAGGGGGAATTATCTTCATCCTGGTTGTACTATTGTGTTCTAGTTGTGCAGTAACTAAGGTTTGGTATCTCAAAACTTGTTACCATCTCAATCTCTGTATTTCCTAAATCTTTTGCCAGGCAATCCTATTTATGAGGCTTTCTTGTTTCATCTTCCCCAACATGTGAGGAAATTTCAGCCTTTGCAGTATTTTCTTTTGAGCTACTTTACCTAATACAGGGAAACTCAGAGGGAGAGGCAAAATAACTTTGATACTTTGATCATTAGAGTATACAGATGAAGAATTTTAGAATTCATGATCCTGTGAAATGAGCTGAGTGCAGTCACATGCTATGTTGTCCTCAGAGCTGATGCTGGGCAAATGAAGAGGAAGTGAGTTGTAGTGTTGGAATGAAAATAAAGAGGCTGAGGGAAAGGTGTCAAGCAAGAAAACACTCCCAAACGTACTTAAAATGCAGTTATACTAAGAAAAAGTTATATGCTGTGAAAATGTACTTTATTCAGCAATTTTGATTCCATGAATAATCAGAGCCAGCTTCATTTATTTTACTAGGACAGCTATGACTTTTTTATTTGCAGCTCTCTGAAGCAGGACTGGATTTTTTTCCCAGCTAAAAATCCACAACAGAGTTAATATTTAAGGACACATTCTCCTTGACAGAGCTGATATTTAGTCACATTTTGCACTATAGAGATGGCATCAATCACGCTATACTGCAGACAAGCCTAAGCCAGATCAAGTATCAGTATAGGTGGAAGCATAAAGCAAATGTTGCTATGACAGAAGCTGAAGAAATCATCATCCTTCTAAATAAGTATTGTTATGCAAACTTGAGATTCACACTGCAGCAAAAGGACTTTTAGTCACACCCATTTAATGCCAACAGAGGCAAAAAAAAAAAGTCAAATCCTTAAAGAACATAATTTCAGGACTCTGAGTTCCAAACAGTACATGGCAATATTTGCTCTACAAGGTTTTTATTACCTATTCAGATACACTAGCTACAACTTTATTTTGAGTGTTCCAAGTAGATTTGGCTGGACTAGTCATTAGAAATTCCATTGCTTTTCTCTCCACAGTTTTTTTTTCCTCATGTAAATGAAAAAAATTAAGGAAGCTGATTTGGAAGTCATTGGCTAGAATCCCAAACCGGTAATTTTGTGAAGCCCTTCTTCAGAGTAGAACCATGGCTTAAACAAGACACCAATATTCCTTTCTGCAGTATGATTCTATTTTTGGTTTGGAGTTCCCATATATAGGAAGCTCTGTTAGAACTCTTGCAGAAAGCATAAAGCAATAAAAAATTAAACTGTTAAATGGGATGCGACCATGAAATGTTAATTTCATTATCCCCCTACACTTAGCTACTTTTACCACACAAGTAGATGCACAGCACACAATAGAAATGATGATGTGTTGGCATCTCCAGTCCAAGAACAAGCCTTTTCTTTTACTATTTGGTTGTTATCTTACATATAAAACTTCTGAGTATCACCATTCATCTGTTTAGAAAGTTTGAAAACAGAAAACAAGAAACATTTTCTGGACACTGTCTCTGAGCCTACTAAAATGTTCCTTTGGTGGTTTTCAGAGTTCATTTTGGCTTTGTTAGTAGTATTCAAACCATATGTATATGAAATCATCCTAACACTAATTTGATGTGATGAAGGAAAAAAAAAAAGAAAGAGGGGAGTGGCCTGGTTCTCAGCAGATGGTTGCTATTGTGAGAGTTATATATAGAACAACTGATGAGCGGCAGTTACTTACAAAGAATAATTTTTTCCAGGAATTCTGTGACATCATGAACCACATAAGTAGACTTCAGATGTTTTGTGATATCATGTGAACACTACGAAGGACTTAATGCCGGGTCATCTATTGCTGCCCATTTGTGGCCTGGTAAAGGACAAATTCAGTAATATTGACTTGGTAAAGCATCAGCACTTCATTTGATCATGGAAAATATGTACAAGGTGTTCAAGCCATACAAGTTAGTCTTGTTTTTTTTTTCCAGGACAAAAATATACCTGTGTCTGCTGAAATTAAAGCTTTGTGTCTTTAACTACTACATCTATTTATACAATAGTTGCAAGAAGATGGGTTCTACTTAAATGAGAATCTACATCACAGTCATACTGGAAGAAGCTTCTGAGTTGGATATTTCTGTCAAGGAATACAAGGTCAAGAACCATCCAAAAACTTACTGGAACCTAAGTTGTCCATTTTAATCTAATTCTTCTAGTGTCTTTCTTGTCAATGATTAAGTCAGCAAAACACTGCAGGAATTCTTCCTTATACAGGAATTTATATATTTCCCAAATCCTTTATTTGTTGCAGCTGCTATTATAAATATTTTCACTAAAAATAGTGAGAAATGAATGCTACAGGTCTAAATAGAATTTTAAGGATTGAGGACCTAAGAAAGAAAGTTTCTTAAATAGGACAAAGACATATGAAAAGCTGTTTGAAAATCACCACTAGACTAACAGAAGCTGCTACTGTCTGGAAGAATAATGTGTTAAGGATGGCTGCCAAAACACTCTGACAGAGATAATACATGAAAGAGTTCAGGACCACTGGGATGAAACAATTTTGCAGGTGATAAATGCAGTTAAGTCAATATTGCAAACCATCTCCACTTGGCAACTCACGCAGGAAAATCATGTTCTTCTGCTGTCTAAATATTTTGATTCAAGGAAGAAAAGATTCCACTGGAATGGTATGAGTGAATTAGTGACTAGCCAATGAATAAAGAGAGGCTGATTCTGAGTGTTTAGAGTTTTTTGAGAGCATGTCTCAGTGAAAAGGTACAAAATTTTCTTTTAAGGAATGTTTCTTTTCTTAAGGTTTTTTTCTTTTCCTTCTGAACATTTCAAAGAGAAAGGGGAAAAACAGTAAAGTACTGATAGCATCCCAGATGGATATCAAATCAATTTTCTCCAGTCTCATGCTACAATCAGAGGGATATCTGTAGGAAGATGTTCTGACAGCTTCAGTCATGTCACAGTTCAGATGGATATCTCTGTCTAATGAATATAAACTCCAGATCCAACAGAACTATGCTATAAGGAAGAACATGCAAATTGAAGAATAGAAGGTGCCTGTCTTAATATCTGGTAGATGAGAGAGACCCCAGTATGTCTTTAATTTCCTTCCTAAATATGTTATAGGTGAAGGGGCTCTTCCATAGTACTTAGGTACACTTGTCATAGTTGAAATTGAAAAATTGTTGCTATGAAAAATCAGGATCAGAATAGGTGTAATCACTTCCCAGAAGCAATACTTTATCTTTCCATATTTACTACCAGTACAGTTTTACACCCCATGATAACTTTCAAACTCAGGTAACTTTTAAAGTAATTAATATTCCCTGGTGAAGACATTATTAATCTTATGTTATATAGTGATAGTGCTTTTTAGCCATATAAATCCCAAAGCATTTTAATGACTGCTCAAAGTAGTATGTATGACCAGTAATTTTTTTACCGCACATGGAAATCAAAGCACCTGTGCTGAAATAACAATGCTATTTGGTGCTCCTAATACAATATTACACGTTTGTCAGAGTGGAAATAATTGACACCAAAGAGGAACCTAGGAAAGCAGAAAGTTGTAGTCTTCTAGACTGCAGCACTAACCCAGATATCATGCAATTCTGTCAAAAGTGATATTTAATCTCATATGCTCACACACTGAAATCCTATCTCATTCAATAAAAAATGCAGTCAAATGCTACCACTGGCTTGCTAAATATATTCAAGAGAATATTAACATACAATAAATACAAATCAAATTAGTTCAATTCACAGGTCATAAGTCAGTCCCCAAAACTACCCTTAAACTTTCTTGAAATAAACATATGTAAACATTGTCAAAAGCTTACTGATTGCCCCATCTGTATTCTGTGTCATATACACTGTATGCCAAATTTTAAAAATGGAGTGCTACAGGTATAAAACCATACACTGAAACATTTTCTTCCTCATTAAAACAAAGTACCTTTTCATTAGAGGAAGAATAAATTCTAACTATACATGTAACTACAGTCCTCAGACATACTAATCTCAGAAAAGGATTTTACAGTTTTGAAATTGCTGCATATCTTTGGGAGGCTAGCTTAATCTATTGCTTTTAGAGAAATACTAAAAAAACCAGTAAGAATTCTCAAAATCAGAGGTTGAGGCATGTTATTTCAAAAGGCAGAGGTCATATGGGATTCTCATCACAAGAAAAGACCACATCAGCTGAAGATATATTAATAGTATACCAAAATAAAATGGTTTAAGAATACTACCTATATGGTCAAATACTTATTTCCACACAGGAGCTTTTTTAGATGTTGCTGCTACCTATTGCTTACACTGCAAATTTTATTTTTAAATCCTCAGCATGCATTTCTGACACTGAAATAATAAAGTTGTCTTAACAGATAAAAAATATAAGAAAACAGTTCAGATTTTATAAGCTGTTGCTGCAGATTCTTATGTATTCAAATGTACCAAGAAACTGCTCTATCAGAAAGCAAACAAAAACCTAGTCCTTATATTTAGCAGAGCTGCCAACAAAATACATTTTTTTGGTTTTGATCTCTGCCTATTTCTCTTTGCCAAAATATGCAACAGAAAAAAAAATCCTATTTGTATTTTTACATTATGAATTGCCTGTGCACCAATGTCTCCCATCTTACCATTTACACAGCTCAAATTGCACATTAGAACTAGAGAAAAGGACCAGTCCTACCTTGCCTAGTAAAGCAATACTGCACAAATTAGATTAGTTTCCTTTTCCCTTTTTTTTTTTTTCTTGGGCTATATAGTTACTTGTGGGAAAGAAGCATTCAGTCATAAATGTTCTCTTAGGTTCTGAAATTTAATGAATGAAAAAATGTTGCCTATAATGTTTTTTTAATATTGTGATGACTTTCTTTTAACACAATCAGTGATGAGGGAAAAGTGCACCCCTCAAATCATAGGTTAGATTGCATTAGCATAGGCAATACAAAAGTTAAGTTGTCATTCTTATTTTCAAAATAGCCAACTCTTCAAAGAAAGATTATTCAGGGTTAAGGCAAAAGATTGCAATTTTAGAGACTACAGATCTCATATGTGATCCATGACATTCATCTGAATTTTTCTGCACCCAAACTCATCAATAAAAAAGATTAATCCAGCATTTTTTTTGCTTTCTTTTCTATTTAAGCTTATTAATGTTGCTTCTTTTTCTTTAAAGTTTACTTAAGAGGGTTCTAATCCTCAGAAGTCAGAAAGTATTATCATAACTCAAGATTTAAAAATATGGATCTCTGGAGAAGTTATGTTTTATGACATAAGTCCTCTTTCTTAGATCTCTAGATTAACACTTTGCTATTACACTTTGTCAAGTTCCTCTCCTGCACGCAGTACCAATTTTTCTGTTTCAACATCATGAAGCAGTTCCTTGCTTCCTTGCCTCAATGCCCAGGTTTATGAGCAGCCCTTATGTTCATTATCTCTTGCCTTAATATACTCCTACCTCTCAAAATATAATTGTTGAAATATTCATCCTTAAGAAAGAATAAGTATTGGTGTTATCAGTTTACATTTCGTAATCAAATGCTTCTTCCCCTGTGTCCAGGTATAGTGGTCATCCAGCAGAAACACATTCACTACCTGACTATTCATATACTCTTAGTGTCTTTCTTGTCAATGATTTATGATATATCCTTTTGGAGATACAGAGGAAGAAAACCCAAAAAGTTCTAAAAGAGAATTAACTCTATCATAGTAAACCCACATTGCTGGTGCCCATATTATACAATACACTTCTTATATTTACATTCCATATCCAAGCATGAAGGGAAAACAGAACCTTACAGATGTCAGATATGGAAACATTTAATTTTAATTTTTCAGAATCAGCAAAAATATCCTTGTGCTTGAATATTGGCACATATTTATTTTGAATTTCCTTTGAACTACCATCTGGGGTTTTGGTGAGATTTATTTAGTTGGTTTTGGGGGTCTCTGTTCGGTTGGGGAGGTTTGTTTTGTGTTTTTCCACATAACACCATGTGTTTATTCAATAAGAAGGAAAAAAAGAGGGGACTTATATAAGTACTTCAAAGGCAACTGAGTGTTTAGTCATAGAATGGTGTGAGTTGGAAGGGACCTTAAAGACCATCTTATTCCAAGCCCCCAGTTCCCTTACACTCCATCAGCAGGAACACCTTCCACTAGAACAGGTTCCCCAGGCCCCATCCAATCTAGTCTTGGACACTTCCAGGGAAAAATTTCACTAGGAATGTTTGACAATGCTTTGCAAGGACATATTTCCTTCTCTTTATATGTCTGTGTATATTGATACATGCCACATTCAAAAGTATATAATTTCTGTATTCTGCTTACTTGAATTTCAGTAAGTTATGACATCAAGAAGCACCAATCATTTCCTCTATGGAACACTATCATCAGAGAAATGCTTATTTAATTTCACTGTGGAAATACACTCAAAAAGAGGATACTAATTTATGTCCAAGGACTTCTAAAATATACATTTTATTTTAGAGAGGAGGAGAGATGTTTTTGACAACTTTAACTTTGGTGGTGTTCAGAAGATTGGAGCAGCAAATCTCACCTCAGCAATCATTCTGTTGGTGTCCCCCAAGAAAAGTAGGTTTAAGGCTTCCTCTTCGTTGGTTGCTTGCTGAAGAGATAAGTTTTTCAGGTGAATGTTTTGATCAGAGTCTTCCATTATTGTCACTTTTCTACACGCAAAAGGAAAACAACAGTGATGACTAGAGTTTTAATGCAATGTTTTTTCATACTTTAATTTTGATTGCACCTAAAAGATGAAATCTAAAACCCAAGCCAAATCATAATAAAAAAACCATGAAAAATAAATGATATACATTAAAGGAAATGTTGGTATCTTTTTTTACTGTCACTACCTTTTTATTCCTTTATTATGAAACTTCACATAGAAAAGGAATATAAGAAAACTAAGTTTTAGAGAAAGCTTTGGAATTTTTATTTATTAAGATAGTAATTTCAAGAGTAAGAGATTAGATGAATCATCACAAACAAATAATATATAAGGGTTTGTTTGCTATTACCAAGTACAGATGATACATAAAACATACCATTATTTTGACATACAAATATACATGGAATCAGAATCAACACATCTGTAATCAACATGTTTCTAATAACTTGAGAAACATTTGTCAAGACTATTTGTCTTTGCATTTTTCTTAAATGGTAGTAACTACAACTGTAAATTATCCCTTCCTTAAATTAAAAGCAAGCCAACAATGATTTTATTTATTCCCCCTGTTAGAAACGTTCTTAGTTACACATCTATCAGACTAAAGCTGTCAGAAATGAATTGGATGCAAGTATCAAGGATATGGCAAAAGTTCCAGAAGAGCTGCTAAATATTATTGAAAATCCTTTTCACTTCTTTGAATAGTCCTTCAACATAAGATTTTTTTTTTTCCTTTTGAAATGGTTACTGAGAGTTAAACTTTATTGGCATTACTGAGTAGCCATTAGGGTCTCCTCAGCTGAGACATCCTATAGTATCCAATATGGTGACCAAGTAGTTGCCTCACTGGATTTGGAAAACTCAGAAAATAATCTGTTAAAACAGAAGTACACTAAATCTGAGGATAAATAACATGTCTTTCAGAGTGAATTACGTGTTCTGATACAATTTAAAACAAATTAGAGCTTTTTTTAGACGTTAGGAGTTGTTTTTATTTAAACTAAAGCTATTTTCTGTGCAAGTGTAGATAATATTTTCTATCTATACATACACACCTGTATATATGTACATATATGTATTTAAATATTTTTTTCATGTTCTTCAAGATAAACCACAAGAGGGAGTATGGGGCTTGAGTTTTTATCAGTAGGCAGTTCTTTCAGGTTAATTACTCCAAGTTGCTTCAAAAGTAGAGAGATTCGGTTTTTTTCTGCTTTACTTTCCCTTCCACCCCATCCCAAACTAAGAATGAAATCAAGTATCAAAGCATCATTCCATAATATTGGGAGTAGCTCAGAGTCTGATGGTCAAAACATTCAAATGAATATAGAGAAATAATTTTAATACATTGCAATGCACTCACTCTTTTCAAGAAATATTGCACATAAAAGTACACACAACGCTTCTTTGGTAGGTACAACAATTACTCTTCCAAGTATAATTGCCTCCCACTGTTAGCCTTATTTTGTCATGGTGGTATAAGACATTTCTCATACAATCACAAAACTCAGCTTCCCCATTCACAGCATAAACCCCAGAGTAGAATTCTGGTCTTGCGTATCAAACTTTTGATAATGTCAGATGATATTCTGCCTGCATCTGTGTGTGCGCTAAAGCCCATAGCTGTTCTAATTAGTGTATACCCTTATTAACTTGTGCCCTTTCCTGCATCAGCTGAGCTGCCACCAATGCAGGAGAGCCTTGCACACTGAATGCTTTAACTTATTAAATTCTTGTTACTGGCAAACATTGACCTTAAAGTTCCTTTGAGTAATTAATACTATTTCATTAACTTGTGAACTATAAATATTATTAAAAAACCCACTTCATATATTTTGGAAAACAAATGACCATTTTAAAAGTCAAGCTTCCTATTATTATATCTGCCTCTAGGGCTTAGAATTGAAGAAATCTAAAATATTCTCAAAAACTTGGCAAACATTTAAAAATTAATCATAAAGATGCAAACAACATATGGAGATACACAATTATGTCAATACAAGAGCTGAATATAGTGATACTACATCACTTTGAGGAGACTGTGGAGCTGAAAACAAATTTAGGATAAAGTTAAAAGAGAAAAGCAGCAGGTAGACATCTTGGAGTCTGTTCAGAAGAACAAAATAAATTAATGGATACACAGAAGCAATGTTTTGTAAAGCTGTAAGGAACTTTAGCTTTTAGGAAAGAATTATCAGGATAATCCTCTTATATACCATCCCCAAAAGATGATATTTCAAAAGTACAACTTCCTGAATACCACAACAGAGGACAAAGTCAGCATGTATTCAAGAGGAAAGCTCACAAATTTATTCAGCTACCATCACCACAACAGCACACAGATTTGATTTTCCATCCAAGTAGAGATTTAGAGCATAATCTCCTTGATGAGACATGGCAGAACTATGAGATGAGTAAGGGCTTGTGCAGACTGTTTGCTTGACAAGTCATATTGTGATAGGAAATCCTTCCCACTGTCTCCAATGGATTCTGTTTTGAGACAACAAAAACACAGTTTGGCTGTTCTGGATGTTATGGACATGACTGGACACTGTTACATATTTAGGGGTTAATGATTCATGTAACAGTGAACCTGAGCAGGCACAGCCTGCACAGTGAGGTGCTGCGCACACAGTGGGGCATTCAGGCCCGAGTTGGGCTGCACAGATCCCTCGGCTGCCAGATAAATTCACCAAGTTCTCAGGAGAACACCTTCTAGAATGAAGCTGCTTTCTTATAAGAAAATAATACAAAGGCTTAACAGAGCAAAAGGGAGACCCTCTCTCCCCAGGCAGGACCCGTACTGCTCTTGTGCAGTGCGCCATAGGGAAGTCATTCAGGCTCTGTCCAACGCTGCGTGGATGCAGCGCACCCAGCGAGTGATGGGATGCAAGATTTACTTGCAACCTATCTTCCCCCTTTTATTCTGTCTTACCAAAGCAGTTACCCTATCAAAATATTTGTTCTAGCAAGAAATTTGTTGCTAAACCTTTCTTACTGGCATCTGGAAAAAGCTGTGCACTCTCTTCCCCCATCACCCCACCATGTAGAACAAGGAATCAAAACAGAAACAATAAGATCAGTGATTCATGTATGAACAAAACATACAAAATCTGTTAGAATTTGCAGGCAATGTCAATAATCTCACTGTCAAATAAATTTTCATATTTGCTCAAATACTTGTAGAAAAATTACATTTAAAAAGCTTCACTGGACTTTATACAAATCAAATCAACATAAAACATGGATGTGAATAACCAATATATCTTACATGCTGAAGTTATTGTATGCCTTTTAAGTGTAATTTGTTTGAACTGTAATTTAAAAAAATCATAATTTTAGAAGAAATTATTCAAAACAGTTTTTAGCTGTCTCCTCATTAACGAAGTCTAACCTTAAAGAACATTTTATTCTCTTAACCTTTGGTATTCAGTAGTAACAGAATGAACACTCTTAATTTTGAAAGAATGTATTTCATATAAAAAAGTGAACTAATAATATTATTAGCCTTCAAAGTTTTAAAATACTGATATTTCTTGTAGGTTTATGTTTGGTGGTCAGTTACCAAATTTAAAAGTTGGTACAGCCATTAAAAGGGGCTGACATTAACACTGTTTAGACTGGAGGGGAGAATTAGGTTAATTTGCATAAAAAAAATCAGACAGAATAAGATATATTTCCTGTATGTTTAAAATTATTCCTTTAGTCTTTATTTGTATCTTTCTTTGTTAAGGAAAACAGGAATTCTTTTAGTAGTTGTTTTAACTTTCCACGTCAGCCCTTAAAGCCCTTGGAGGGCAGTAGAGAAACAGAAGAGTATAAAGTCATTTGAGGTAATTTTCCAATATGCAGTACCAGGTTTTGTTTTAAAGGGAAGTTATTTCACACTGAGCCCATGGAACATAACAGTTCTGCATGTTACTAACATATATTTATATAGACATCATTGCTGATGTTTGAAGTTTATTGGCCCTGAGCTTAAAGTGGGATTTTATCAAAGTCAGACAGCATCATACTAAAAATTAAACATTTCCCTCTCAAAGAGGACTTTAATGAACCTTCACATAAAATTTGCTGATTTGAAATTTTGATTCTATTTTCCCCTGGCCACATCACTGCAGAGCAATGGTTGTCTGAGCTCCCTGACAAAAGCTCCTCAATTACTGCAGCTTAGACTGTCATTCTAAGACAAAACAGCATTAATTGTAGTTTGCCTTCCCATGCCATCAGACAGGTAAAGCAGTAACCTAATCATTCCTGACTAATGGTTCTGTAACCTCAATCTTTACTTTTGTGTTATTTATGGTGCCAAAAAATTTCTTATTTCTGGATAAATGAGAACATGCTAGGAAGAGTTTTACTGGTAGGTTGTAACCAAAGTGAAATTCAGTAACACTGGGTTACATAAATTACAAATACACTGCAACCAAGAACCTGTTGGAGATAAATATTTTAGAAAAGTATTCCTAATTTGAACTCCTGCAAAACTTTTATGAAAACATAAGGTGGAAGTAAGTATATAGTCTTCTACCAGTTTTATTTTATAGCAATAATATCATACCTTTATGTATTGAAAACAATCAATTTCCTTCTAGGAACATGGAATTCTCTACAGCTACAAACAGAATTAGATTGTCAATATTAAATTCAATTTCTTCATAATTCTGTGTAGGTATCTGTATATGTATATATATGGATGTATAGCTATATGGCCCATATTCGTGCATTTGTCAGAAATTTATTTCAAGAAAAGTTATTTTGTGATTGTGGTGGTTTTGTGATTGATTTTGTGGTTGTTTTTGTGAGAGCCTCTTTCTTTCTCATCTGGCAGACTCAGATGAAATGGGTAAGCAGTGCTAAGATGAAAATTTCATAGTCTACAGAATATACAGAGTATGGCTACACACAAAACCATGACTTCAGGAGCTGAGATTCCAAGTCTAATCATGTAATGTTTAGATGCAATGGACAGTTTAAAAAATGTTTATTGTTCCCTTTGCCTTAAGCATCAAATACAGTTTTAATGTCTCATTTTTCAAGTACTATCAACAAGCCTATAGTGTATCCACAAGCTTTTCCTAACTTCTATCACCTGAATCTGTATTCAGTTCTTACACTGAACTGGCAACAAAGCTAAGAACAGAGCTTGCTGGACAGAAGTAAATATATTTCATTCAAATTACATCCCCTTCTTTTGCAAGAATATAACAATATTATTCCAGAACAATCTGCACATTATATGATGTTAACTAATCTTTTTGCTCATTCTTCCAAAATAAAAAAAAAGTATCAGCACTGACAGCTAATATTTATCCAAGAACATAGGGTGAATATTCTGCCTTTGGCTTCACTGTGGAGTTCGACAGAAAATTATCTATAATATGAAACTTTTAAAGTACAAAAACCATAAATACTTTTTAATACTCTCATTAAGTACAGGTTGTCAAGCAAACAAAGTTATTATTTTGTATTTTGCTCACTGTCACTAAAATATTAAGAGGTTTTAAGCACATAAAATTCTCAAATAAATATATATTAGGTGATAAACACCTGATAAATTTTAAAATATGTGATTATTATTTACTTATAAATAACCTCTACTTTATCATTTAAGAAAATTAATCAAGTACTTGAAATACAGTTAATCACACAACAACCCATTCCTACAGCTTTTACTCCCTTTTTAGATCAGAATGGCACTAGATATTTTTGAGTTTTGAATCCCCAAACTACAATATTAAAAAAATAAACAAAACATTTTATTAATTAAATAATTTTACACATACTAAATATGAGTCATGTAGGTATAGTTTTGGTTTACAGAACATATTTTATTGACACATGATGTAGAGGGATTCATAATGTCCATGTACAGTAAAACCTTAAAGCACTTTATTAATATTACTCTGCAGAGAAAAATTTATTATCTTACTAAAACTCATCCTTCAGTATATAAGTTTACTATCTAAGTTTACAGGTAATTATGATTATCCCAGCATGCTTTAGTCCTAATTTACAATCAAATTATCTATCAACTTTTACATTTTAAAATAACTTACACACAACATCATAGAGTTATTCTTTAACTGAATCACCATACATAAACCTAATTCTATGATTCTATAAATCACAATTATTAGCAAATATTCAGTACCTAGTTTTAAAATAATACATTTTCTAGAGCATGTGACCCCAAATATCTGCTTCAAAGTTGCAATTAAATTACTAAAATCCAGTTTCTTTGAATTGAAGACATTAATTCTTATAAAATGTTAATTGGAATTAGTTCAGATACAATATTTCAAATAACTTAGTAAATGAAATTAATAATGCAATAAACTTGAATACCTTAACAGCATTAAATTTAATAAGTAGAAAAGTACAACACATAATTTACTATTTTTTGTCCATGCAAAACTGTACACGGAATTAAATTATATTATCCAAACTAGCTTCTGATTTTAATTTGTCTGAATGCCACAGGAACCAGATAATAAATTCCATTTTTCAGGTAAGAAAGTTAAAACAATTAGACCAATTCACAGCCCAGTCCCACACTTTGTATTTAACTGCTGTCTTCCTAATCTCTAGACTACATTATTTCATAAAGATCAATCATGAAAAATATTTTGTACATACATGTCCTAGATACCCCATTCTGTGAGGAAGAAGAAAACTCCATTTAAACACAAAATATTGTGTTGCAAGAATTTTTAAAAAATCAAATGGTTTAATAATATGCTAATAACCTAATTAGTTATTTCAAAATAAAATTATACTGATTTTCTTTTATTGTCCTGTTGAAAATTTTCAGTATGTTCCCTGCTCTTGTATCAGCAGTGATTTCATTCTATTTACAAGTATCTGTTACTATCATGTTGAGTGATAAAATTCATGGTGCCCAGCATTAATTCAGGGCACTTGGGAATCCAGTAAACAACTCACTTATTCACACCTATTTAATGTTTGCCTAGCTACTTAAAAATAAGACAGACTATAAACTGTTATTTCAGACTTGAGGACTAGAATTTACATTTCCTAAAAATTAGAAATCTTTAACTTCACCAGCTGGAGCATTCATGACCTACAAACCTTTAACTACCTTTCTCCAATCATGAGTAGGTGCTAGTGTCTGATCAATGACTACTCTTATAAATATATTTCCTTCCATTCTGAAGGAAATATATTTTTCTTTGGAGTTCCTTGTGGCCCATTTTCTAGCTGTAACTTACCTTATTTCGTAACTGCATATTCTAGAATTATTCTTGAAGGAAAAGAAATAGAAGCAGGGAGATTTTCTCATACTGTTGCAAGGAACTAGCACCTGTTCCATGTCTCTGCCACACACAGCCATACAAAGAGACAGGCTGCCATGAGAAAAACAAGTGCACCTTCTCCTTGTCAGGGGCTGCAAGAGACCTCTTCCGCATAATAGCAACAAACACTTTTAATTCTTTCACCTTCAGTTACACCCTACCCTCCATACACACAGAATAACAGAATATTTAGGCACCATTGACAATTGTGAAAACCAAGTACTCTGATTAAATTAACACTGAGATCAGTAGTACAACTTCAAAAAGTCCCTAAACAATGTAATAGGGTATATGAAAATTATTCCTCTTGGTTTTAATGATTTTCTGTATTTATTACTTACGGCAAATCTTCCATTCTAGAGGCCTCATGTCTTGGGTCCAGCAGATCATAACCACATTCATTGTAGATTTCTAAGTAGGAAACATGAGTTGTGTACACTTTACTGCTATCCTGGATAAGAAAAAAAAATAGTGCTATAAACAGAAGTTAGAAGTAGATTAGAAGACAAACTTATTTCTAAAGCTTCTAGGTCACTTTCTCACTTTCTCTCTTTTCCTGGATATGGCACACATCTTAAATTTTTGATACTTTCATGTTACGTGTTACCATATGCATAAGGACTCAAGAAAAGAAAGGAAAAAAAACCCTCACAAGCACTCCCAACCAAAATAGAGACAGACACACAACTCACTAAAACAAAAATCCCCCACAAAAACCCACCATTACCATGAGTTTAGTCTGGGATTTTTAAATGATTCTGTATACTTTTAAAAGTTTGTATATATTTAGAACATGGGAGCTGCTTACAGAACTATGCAACATGACATTTTTCTCTTCTGCACTAAAAAATAAAGTTTTTATAATAAGGTAAATGCTCATATTATAGATAGAAAGACTATTCTTAAAAAAAAACAAAGTAAAAAAAATCAACAAAAATAAGATTTATTTTATTTAGAAACTGTCTTTCATTCTCTTTATCATAACATTAGAGCACTGTACATGATGTCAGCTGTTCTCTGCAATCACAATTCTTTTGGTAAATTACATTGCCAAAAAGTAATTCAACACAACTGAGTTTTGCCGACAATTTTCCCCTGCCCCAAAGCCAAATCCAAACAACATAAACCTCAAAATAGTGGGCTATGATTTCCAAAATTAAAGAAATAAAAGACAATAAAAAAAATCAATCACTTCTTTTCAGCAGATAAAACCACTGTGAAAGCACTTATATCACATTTGAAATTTGATACTTCAATTCACTACAGGTTTCTTTTGCAAAATACTTTGAGATATAACTTGTCACTTTCATTTAATAATTATTTCCCATGGTTTTTTTTAATTGGTTATGACAGTTCACTATTTAAAGGGACATAATTTAAGAGATACACTACAGAGGATGTAAAGAACATAGTAAGGAACAGTTCAAAGAAGATGCCATGAAAATAGGAGAATTTCTAAATTAAAAGGAGATGTTATTAAAAACAAAAGGCTTGATTTTCTTCTCATTTAGTTCTCCAATTTTGTTTCTTTGGTTTTGAATTGCACTGTCTTTGTCCAAGCAAGAGTTTAACAAGTCTTATATTTCATGTCCCTGATTTCACTTTCTCCTGTTTCATCGTACTTAGGGTTAGAAGGCAAATTTCTTTTCCACCATTTGAGCAGCTTCCAAACCACAGTTGTAGATATAAAGAAGTGCAACAGGGGAAAGATACGAAAAGAAAGGCAAGAGAAAAGATAAAACACCAAGAAGAGATCCTTTAAAATGCACTAAGAAAAGGAATTATACAAAACAATTTGGAAGCAGGAAAATTGAAATAGCCCTATAAGTGTAACTAAGTATAGCTTTTGATCCAAAATCCAGTCTGAAGTAAGAAACAGTGGTATTTCTGTGCTGAGAATTTGACAAACATACTAGTTCTTTTTCATCCTATTTTGTTTGTATTACATAATTGACGTTAGAAAAGAATGTTGGTGTGTTAACACTGTTTGTTGTTGGTGATTGCATGATAAACCTGTTCACTTTCCACAACAAAAGTCCTCCACAGAGGTTGTGTGAGTGCAGCAGAAGGTTAAAGATAACATGATCATGTGGGGTTTTTAAATTTCTGTCCCCACAATGGCAAGTTTTTGTGTACTTGCCACATGCTATGTACATTTACCTGCCAAAGTCATACTTCCATAAAGCCAAAGTAATTACTTATCCATGTATACCCTTACTGAGACAGGGCATATTAATGCAACTGAGCCATATACCCTTATGCAAACAGACTGGTTCTCTGTAGTACACAACTGAAAGAATATAAGTGTACAGTGGAATGACTTATGCTAATGTCAAATCATATTTAAATTGGCTTAATTAAATAGCTTTGCTAAAATGTTAAGATTAATGAGTCATATGCCTGATGGAATAAATGAAGAGACAAAATATAAATTACACCAGACTCCTCTCTTCACTTTCTCTTATAATTACAAAAGCACTGGAATAATTGACTGTATTGACTCATGTAAATATTTCAGACATTAAAAGAAAATTAAATTTCTCACAAATATAATAAACGTAAAAAATCAGTGTGTTTACTCTGGCACATCTTCTCTCTTATCAACTCATTCTATTGCATAAAATGTCAAAATGAAATGCAATGCACGCAATACAAAACCAGAGTGGAGGTGATATAAGTGTTAGACAAGGAGAACCACTTGTATGATCTGAAGGTATGCTGCACTGACTAAAAATAACCTGGCTTTTAAAACTACCAAAGCCCCCCACAATGATGTCCATAATTTTCAGACTATTGCAATAAGCCAGGTCGCCAAAACAACTACAAATATATTCTTGCACACAATAAATACCGTGCCAAGTATTTTGTTAATCATTAGTTTTAGGACTTCCACTAACACTATTGTTAAAAAAAACAATTAGCAATAGTTAAATATTTGAAACCAGATATTAAAAAGAAACAGAAAATAATGATCCATACCTTCTGCAACTGATCGAAAATATAAGATAAAGTCCTGGGAATGATGCCTCGATCACTGTAACGTTCTGCTCCTCCTGTGACGGTAAAAGTTTTGCCACTGCCTGTCTGACCATATGCAAAGATAGTCCCATTGTATCCAGCCAAAACACTATACAATTAAAAAAAGGAAGATAATATTCAAGGCAGAACATATTGTCCATGATCAACTTTGTATAGAACCAAAATATAATTAACAGTAATTCTTAATTACATAGCAACTGTCTTTGATTGTACAAGAGTACATTTTAAAATATATATAGTCTAGATTCTATAGAATTTCAGCTGTCTAGAATGGAAGAATTTCTTGATGCCTTGACTTCATGCATTATTAGCTGATCATGCTTATTACTATTTACACTACCTTTTCATACTTTTTAGTTTGGCAGATGATTTTTTGCAAGGATGATATTTAATCTCTCTATAAACTGTAGATGTCAGGAATTGTGCCATTCATACATTAAAAGAATCAAGAAATAGTTCACATACAACCTCATTAAATGCAAACAGAAAACTATATTATGGTTAAAAACTCATGCAAGGATACCAAGGTCCAACTTTTATTCTGAGAATACAACTATACTAAAATACCAGACTATGCTTTGAAAAGGATATGCAGGAGAGCCTGTGCTTAAATCAGTGTAATAAAGTCCTAATTTAATATGAAAATACAGAAACCCACACTGGTGATAGCAAACATTTCTGTTATAATTATGACTGTACAAGAAGCTTTGATAGAACAGAAAAAATACCTATTAATGACATAACATGAAATGGCATTCAGACTCATCTTTTTCATACCTCTTACTTCTGTTTGCAGAAGTGCCTAATGAAAGTCCAGTTCAAATATTTTTCTGTAATTCACCACACTGCCACCATTGACTTCCACCTTATTTCCACTAAACAATAGATAAGAGTATTCATCTTAAATTTTTGATTGGACTTATTATGCTTAAGGACCTACCAATTTTGTTCAACAAACTGAAAAGCAAAAATTATTCTTGTGCATTTAGTTTAAAGATGAAATGATAAATAAGCTACAATTTCAATAAATAAAAAGAGGGAAAACAACCCTTGTGTAAGAGGAAAAGAAACATTTATATAGATAGCTGCTGGTCTGGCGCCACGAGAGATGCAATGATTCTCCAACTTAAAGTTTATTTAAAGGCCTGGGTAGTTGCCAAATTGCTTATTTTAATCCATTACAGTAGGATGTCAAAGACAACAACAGAAGCATGTTGAAAGGAGCTACAGTGAACATCTGCTCCCAAACCGCACAAGGATTGAATATATATAGATATTAGATTCCAGATGTTACAAATCAAAACAATTATTATGATAAAACACCTCATTCATCCATCTTAGGAATTTCTAGTGCCCACTGTCACAATATCTGAATGCTGACGACAGTAATGAGTTGCCAGAGGGTGATGGGTATCAACAGAAGTCCAGACATGGCAGATTCAAACCTAGCAAGAGGAAATTATTCTTAAAGCAAATTGTAGTTAAGCTGTGCAACTCTTTACTACACCATGTTTTGGATATTTAAATGTCACACAGGCTTCAGCAGAGATTGGAATAAATCACCAAAATGTTTTTCTTCAGGGCTACTAATCACAGAGAAATCAGAAGGTCTATAAACTACAAATAACTAAATACTAAGAGGATATATGCAGGAAGCAGCTCTACATGCTTACTTTTTTCCTTACTTACATGCTTATTTTTTTCCTCTGAGCAATCTCTGTTAGTCCCTGTGAGAGACAGCACAGTGCACTTGACGGAACCTTGGTCTGATGCAGTATAGTTGCTCTTCAGCTCTTGAAGAAGAATTCTCTGGCTCTTCAGAGCTGGCAGCAAGGGTTGTTAAATTTTCTTACACCTCTTTTTTAAAGGTGCATCTTGCAATGTGTTAAGAACTAGTAAATGTGTGGCTGCAAACTATTAGCTCGACATGATTGTATTCTGATTTCTAACCACTTCACAAAAGTTGATTAGAATCACCTCATATGTAAACATAGGATAAAGCATCATATACCATATGCTGTCAAAACAGCTGCAAAAGTCAAATTTTTTTTTGCTACTTGATTCCTGTATATTCTTATAGTTTCTGCACTGCATCAGCACAGCTCTGAAAATTTTTTCGAGAAAACCCTGACAGCTCATAAAATGTGAACATATCAATGTCAATGCATTCTTCTAATCCAATGCAATTATAGGTTATCCTAATATTGCATTACATGGATTATTTTTATTCTACAGTTATGTTCTTTAAATTCTGAGCTAAAAATCAACCTTATTTTCTAAACTTATGTACAAGTACCTATATATGTCTGTGTATCATTATATATATACAAATAATTGCATTCTGTCCTTATTTACAGCACACATTTCTTTCATTCAGAGTGTATTACAGTTACCATCAAGTCAATTTAAGGACAGCCTGCTTAAGGTGCTAAGGAAGCCTGTAAGGAAAGAAGATTACCAATAATACCAGTGAAATTGCTGGCAAAGCCTTCTAAGAGTAACATGTAACTCCATGAGGACTGGATGGAGAACAAATTCCCTTTTTAAGTCTGAGAAGCAAAACACTTAGATAAATAAGAGACAAGGGACTAGGAGTTCAGGCAGGACTGACAAAGTTGCTTTGGCTCAGAAGCATGAGATCTTGCCTCCTGAAAAGAGTAGAGGGGAAGATGCAGTGAAAATTAAAAGCTTTCACTGCACTGACTTGTGGAGAGAAAATTAAACTTATGGACTACACAAAAGTTAAGGGTTTGTGTATATATATATACTTATGAAAGAACATATTCCAAAAGTGAAAATATATGACTATCATTGTAAGTCTAATAGCGTGAATATTAGTCAATGTCAGTTTTGAAGGTCTCTATGTGATAACATGGATTAAGTAAAAAAATCTAGGTTTGATGTGCCTTTTTCACACTTATTTTAGGTAACTTCATTTGGAATCAATGGTCATAGAGGATATTTTAGCAATGAGCCTGAATTTCTGCATATAAAGCATTCGCAAAGAAACGTGGCCAAGATTTCAAATTCTATTAAGGTAAGATTTTCACAAAAACATGACATTTCAGAGAAAATGTGGACATGCAATAGGTCCACAAAAAGTTGTATTTCAATCTCATTTAATATACTGAGCTGTCTTCACAGTTTATTAATATGTGGAAGATCTGTTTCATGACTGCCAAGAAAGGCCCTAAAAAGTCAGTTGCAAATTCAAAAAGGGCAGAACTAAACAAATAGAATATTGATATTTTAGATTTAACTCATGAGTTCCAGGATTTCCAGATTTTGTAGCATAATTGATAACTATGTCAACACTTGGTAAATATGTCTTTAAATATATCTTTTTAGACTGAATATTTATTTGTTTCAGTGAAAATACATGTTGTAAAGTCATATGAAGTTTCACATATTACAAAACTGAATATAAAAATGTCTGCTTGCTCTATTGGAAATGTAAACATGTACGCCTATGTAGCCACTTGTACATACATGTCATGCATGTTAAGGTCAGTAGGATGATAAGTGTTAGTCTTTTTTTGATCACTGTAAGAAAAGTTGATTTAAATCAAAATAATGATGAAGAAATATCATTGTCTGCCAAGTATTATGATCTCATCAAGAAGTATTTATGCAATAAGAAAGTCTCTTTAGCAAAGCTGATATCACTGAACAACACAAAATAGTGCAAAAAGATTTTGCATGGTGGAAATCGAAATAAGATAGAGTGCATGGGAAAAAAGCAACACCATAAATTGCAGGCATGCAACTTCCAAAGTATGAATAATTATTGTTTATTCCATTCCTAAATCTTCTTTATCCTTTTATTCTGCATTATAATTTATCATCAAATTACATGTTCCCTTCAAGATGATTATAATTTAGAAAAGGATTTAATCACTTCTTACATTTTACCCAAAGAACTGAATGCTTCTTTTCTGATCAAGCACTGAAAACTTCCTGCTGTTTTTTAGCAACACAACAGCTTGTGCTTCACCTTAAAGAGCTAAACGGCAACAAGTTTAAGAAAAAAGAAAGCATTGAATATATCCTCTATGTTGCTTAGGATTTAAATCACACCTTTTCCAAGCAAAAGGCAGTTTGTGCACACAGATGACTAAGAAGGTTGATTTGATACCACTGCTAAATATACCTAATCATGTATTACAGCAGCAGCATGATGGGATAAATTAAAAATTGTCAAGTTTTACCTCCAGCTATGACACAGACTAGCAAAAAATGTCCCCCAACAAGAGTGTTTGAGACAGCACTTGCAATACTTTTAGTATTTTTCTAACTAGAATACTAAGGGATATTTCCCCCCCCACACTGGGAAAGTTCTCTACTTGGAAAGTATTAAGTAAGATCATGATCCACAGCTTATTCAATTCAATGAGCACCTTTCCAATATGTCACTGAATTTTAGGGGAAAAATTTGATGCAGCAAATTTTTGCTGCTGTAAATGCTTGAAACGTACGGCAGCATTTACACTTATCTGTGCGTATCAAAAACCTTAAAAACTCGTAACATACATTCTACAAATATTTTTCCAATTAACATGAAATACACTTAATTTTAGTACTTTTCTTTTGAAAAAAATACATAATAGAAAATCAGAAGGCGGAAGTAAATGTTCCTTATATATTTCACTTTCAGTACAACCTTAATGCTACCTAATAACCCAAATGTTGTCACAAAACAGCTTACATAATGATGATTGCTCAAGAAAATCAGTTTTGGTCTTATGAAAAAATTATCATGTGTTCTGTGCTGCATTGTGGACTTTGAGAAACTATCCATTATCAAGCATAGGACAATTTTTAACATTAATATAAAGAAGAGCAATACCATAGTTTTTTTCCCTCATGTTTCTTACTCACTTATCAAGTAACTTGCATGCACAGTGAGATAAGAACTTTTAATTTGAAAATTCTGTTCAGACCCCTATTTAAATTAATGCTGTTACAGAGCTATTGACTGACATTTCAGTCACTCCACTGCCTTGTCTCATTCCTGAAAGCTGTCTAACTCCCAAATATAGTGTGATACAGAAGTATAACTCATGGAAGCAATTCCACTTAAATTGATAG